AAAAGTAGCTTGGCACAGTGGCATGCACCTGTAGTCCCAGCTACTTGGGAGGCTGAAGCATGAGAAGTGCTTGGACCTGGGAGGCAGAGATTGCAGTGAGGCTCCTCCATTGGGAAGGAGAAGGTGAAGGGCAAAAGAAAGGGGAAGGGGAAAGAGAGGGAGAGAGAGTCAGGCAGAGTCAGGCAGAGGCAGGTAGAGGTAGGTAGAGGCAAGCAGGCAGGCAACAGATGCTGAGATAAGACATATCCTGACTAAGTGAATGTGACTGAAGACTAATGAAGGAATTCTTCAGGCATTCTGGCAAAAGCCACTTACAAGAGAGGCAAAATAAAGTGGTCTTACACTTCACTAGATCATCTGATGCCAGAAGAATGTCTACAAAGTCCCAAGGAAGGAAAGTGTGTTCCATGGATTTTAAGCCCAGCTAAGCTTTCTGTACACTATAATAACAAATAAATATTCCATGCTTAAGCACTTGTGACCGTTCTTGAAAAATTATCTTGAGCATAAAATATAGCCAGCTAATAACTAAGGAATGGAAAGCTTTTGGAAGAGGACTGGTGACGAGTATACTCACTCCAGAACTACAACTGTAGAAACTGTAGTTATGAAACAATGTAAAGATTGGAACCCTGACGAGATCAAAATAATGGATTGCCGCCAGGCACAGTGGCTGATGTCTGTCGTCCCACCACTTTGGGAGGCTGAGGTGGGCAGATCACTTGAGGTGGGAGTTTGAGACCAGCTTGGCCAACATGGTGAAACCCAGTCTCACCTAAAAATACAAAAATTAGCCAGGTGTGGTCATGCACACCTGTAATCCCAGCTACTTGGGAGGCTGAGGCAAGAGAATTGCTTAAACTGGCAGGCGGAGGCTGCAGTTAGCCAAGGTCATGTCACTGCACTCCAGTCTGGGAGACAGAGTGAGACTGTATTAAAACAAACAAACGAACACTAGGTTGCTAACAAAAATCAGAACATGGGACACAGAAGGCAGAAATTATAGCTGTGCTGATTTCTTTTTGTACTGCAATTTTCAATGAAACTAAAGTTATAAAATGTAGTAAAAAATAGTAATCCCAACCATTTTTTGTTTTGCAAAAATCGCTTTTTAACTTCTGAGGAATCTCTTAGGAACGAATATTTCTTACACTGAAGAGTCATTTTCTTAAACTGCAGCCACTGCTTCATTATACTTCCAGTTTTCTTCAATAAAATTAAGAAAGATACATTTTAATTCTACGAGTAGAAATACAATGTATAGTGTATCTCATGTTGCACTGACTTATTCCCAGCTGGCAAGCACTTCTTCTATCTGCATATATGCAAAGAAAATTTCCCGGAATGGTGTTCAATTAATGTTAATATTGGTTAATTCTGGGAGGCGAGACCTGGAGTGACTTTCTAAATAATTTATTCCCTGTGCTGTTCTATATTGCTTAAATATCTTATAAAAGCCAAGTATCACCTTTTACAAACTGAAAAGTCATGTTTAAATTATAAAAGCCAAAAATAATCTGTCACTGAATCTTTAAACAAAATATAAAACATACGGCGGCTATACAAATATTGAGAAAACAGGAAAAAAAGGAAATACAAATTGTTCCTAGTGTCATCATCCTCAGTGTCAACCAGAGTTCACAGTTTCAGTCTGAGGATGGAAAGGACTTCATAAAGACAACATCAAATATTTATTAAATAGCCCGTTATATTTTCTCCCAGTAATTTTATGGTCATGTTAATTGCATTTACATATTTAATTGACTGGCATTTACTTTGCTTTTTGGTGTGAAATAAGAATCCCATTTTTTTCCTGCTATGTTTGGCTAGTTGTCCTCACACCATGCCCTGAATAACCCCTTCTTTGGGTTTGAAATGCCACCTTTAATAAGGTCTTATGAAGAATTAAATACCCACAGGTATTTACCCTCTCACATCCCAGTTTTTCAGAGACCGCAACACACTCTGAAATGCCTCGACTGTGAATTAAACTCCCTGCTCAGCCTCCTGCTCCAGTGCCAGCTGTCCTAGGCAGCTTCTCTTTGTGTCCCGTTGTCCCATTTATATCTTTGCCATGGCACCTGGGTCTGTATTTGCAGCTTCTGCTATTCATAAAAGTAGGTACCGCATCTTGAATTCATCTTCTAATCCCTCGAATCTGGGTAGCCTGTCTGGAACATGCAAAAGGATTTCAAAAGATCCTCTCCAGGTCACAAGTCTTCCATCACCCACCCCTTCCCACCGACACGAGCAAGGGACATCTAAATAGTAAAAGTTCATGTGGTGAGCTGAGAGAAATTGGCTCAGAACACAATGCCCTAGGATCTTTTGTGTTCTTTTAAAACATTAATGAGAATCACATTTCATTCCACCCACTCCATTTTGAAGGCTTGTGAGCTACTCATTGGGCTCTTCTCAATGACACTTCCCTTCCTGTTTTATTCCTATTGTTAACTGCTTAAAATTCTCACAACAGTAAGGAAATAGCTGTTCATAGATACCCAAGAGAATCCTGCTATTTCAGGCCCCAGGAGTCCTACAGTGAGGACTGTCCTTTCACCAAGCAGATATTTCCCTCGCTACCTTAGCAAGCCCAACACATCCAAGGGCTGGCCTATGTGCAGAATCAAAGCTCAGGACCCTGAACTCAGTAAGCCATAGGCAGTTCGCCAAAGGAACTTGCTATAACATAGTCCTAGAAATGGCATTCTAGCTGCTGAGAGTAATGATTTGACTTAGCGTCTCATGAAAACCACATTCAGGTTTTACAACTGCATTCAGAACATCACAGGTTCAGTCATTTTGGAGATGTGCTGTTTAGTCAACCAGTAGCACTCTGCCATTCCAAAGGGAAGGTCTACAGAGAAAGAAAGCAAAGACACCAAAAGAAGGTCAAAATAAGCCAAAACTATAAAAACACTCACTTCAGGATTAGAGCCAGAGGAACACTGCAAATAGTTATGCGATCCTGCACAGAAGTATTCTACAAACTGGGAGAAGATCAATCAATTAGCTCACACTACTTTGAATTACATCATGGCTAAAGGCATGCTCCAGCTAATAAAAACAGTTTACAAACTAGGGAATATAAAAAAGCTAAGGAAATTGAGAACTGCTATACCTGGGGAAGAAAAGACTATGCCAGTTGTGATGACCACCTTCAAATACTTGAAAGCTTATCATGTTTAAGAGGAAATGGAAGGCTGGGCCTGGTGGCTCGTGCCTGTGGTCCCAGCACTTTGGGAGGCCGAGGCCCATGGATCACCTGAGGTTGGAAGTTCAAGACCAGCTTGACCAACATTGAGAAGCCCCATTTCTACTAAAAATACAAAATTAGCCAGGCCTGATGATGCATGCCTGTAATCCCAGCTACTTGGGAGGCTGAGGTGGGAGAATTGCTTGAACCTGGGATGCAGAGGTTGCAGTGAGCCGAGATTGCACCACTGCACTCCAGCCTCGGTAACAAGAGCTAAACTCTGTCACACACACACACACACACACACACACACACACACAGTTTGTTCAGTCCTCGAGAGACTAGAACTAGACCCACCAGGCAGAAAAGACATGGAAGCTGACTTCAAGTACAAACAATAAAGAACTTTCTATTCAGAGAGAGTCAACAAAGCAGCAGCTTGACTAGTAATGTAGGCAGCTACCTGGTGCACACACCCATTGCCTAGAGAACCCTAGGCAATGTCAGGGAGGGAGACACTCTGAATTACAAGATTAGACCAGATGATCTCAAAGGTCTCTTCTAAGACTATTTGATTCTGATCTTCAAAAAACTTAGTTGTAAGTAGCTTACCCTTTAAAAAAGAGTATGTTCATGAACCAGAATTTTGAAAGATATCAACCACATCCTTATACTGAACATTCTGCCTTTTAATAATGTAAATTTAGTAAGATTAAAAGTCAAGGCTGGGCATGGTGGCTCATGGCTGTAATCCCAGCACTTTGGGAGGCCAAGGTGGGTGGATTATCTGAGGTCAGGAGTTCAAGACCAGCCTGGCCAACATGGCAAAACCCTGTCTCTACTAAAAATACAAAAATTAGCCAGGTGTGGTGGTGGGTGCCTGTAATCCTAGCTACTTCGGAAACTGAGTCAGGAGAATCGCTTGAACCCAAGAGGCAAAGGTTGCAGTGAGCAGAGTTCATGTCACTGCACTTCAGCCTGGGTGACAGAGTAAGACTACACCTCAAAGAAAAAGAAAAAAAAATAAGATTGATCTTGCAAGATTTATAGTTAGATAATATAATTTTCCATGTTTAAAACAAGCTGGCGAAATAACTTAGCTGGTTATCCTCAGCCAACATGTGAATGTGAGCCATCACAGCTTCTAAGATCCAACACCACACAATCAAGGGATTAAAGACACACATCTAAAAACTTCATCAGCATGCCTGACAATGAAACCCCACTTTGTCTCACTGAGTAGCTACAAAAATGTGGGCTTGAAGCCTTCTTGGTATAATTCTACAATTAAGTCTAAAATGATGTAGATTAGAATAAAAAACAGATTTGGATCCAATACACTGCATCTGCCACTAGAACAGGACAGCAAATGAAGGCAGCCTAGAGCCTATTCAAGAAGATCTTCCAGGGCTCATCCACTATCAACGTGGGCTCAGCCACTGCCAGCTCAAGACTCAACGTTGCTCACTTGCCTGTGAGTCTTGGTTCCTGCTATCCCCAAACCAGAGAGCAGTCGCAAGTCAGAATGAACACAACAGGCATTCGATCATCTTTGTAGATCCTGATAAAAACCCAGTCCTTCCTGCTTTTCATTTCTGAAGGTAAATATGCTTGTAAAGCAGTTTTCTAATTGCTCTAGGGAAAGGCAAATACAAATGATAAAGTTTACATGGAGAAAACAGAGCTTAACAAGAGAAAGGAGTCTTTGTACTTAGCAGAGGAAATGAAGGAGGTGACGGGAAATGGTAACAGTGTTCTAACACACACCACACGGAGGAAGATAAACACGCACGAACAAACAAACCTGAAATTCTGCATGAACTGCCGGAACTTGTCCACCCTTTTTGCTAGTGGCACGATAACATTGATAAGCATGTTGGCCATGTTGAGCTTTTCTTTTTTCACTTTCATGATGGGTCCGAATGGTCGAAACAAGATGAGCCGCTTGAATTCGTGTTTGTGGTCCCCTTTGAAGGTGAGCTCATACAACGTGCCTTTGTCCCTTTCTGTTCGGTAGATCCCTGTGAAAACAAGGAAAGATAGTTCTAAAAATTAACCTTGGCTGCTGAGTGTTTTTTAACCGAGATCTAGCATAAAATGCCTTTAAAAAGTTTAAGATGAAATCTCTCCAACAATTATTTGAAAACTCGAAATGCTCCCAATTAAAAAATACCAAAAGAAGTCAAAACACTGTCAATTTAAAAATCACAGTTATGAAGACTGCATAAAAACATGGGGAAAAAGCTTGAAATGCTGGCTAAAAACTGCATTCATAGGATATAGAGGCATTTGTAAAGGAGTTTTAGGAAATATGCCAAAATAAGACTGACTATGATACAGAGTGGCATTATGTGTTTTTTTCTTTTCTTCTACTATCCAAATTTCCTGCAATATGATTTGAAGAATATTAAAATAATTATACTTACTTTAAAAAGTGAGCATTAAAATAATCTCTTAGAAATTATGGCTATTTCAGGCTGTGTGTGGTGGCTCACACCTGTAATCCCAGCACTTCGAGAGGCTGAGGCGGGCAGATTACTTGAGGTCAGGAGTTCGAGACCAGCCTGGGCAACATGATGAAACCCCATCTCTACTAAAAATACAAAAGTTAGCTGAGTTTCATGTTGTGTGCCTGTAATCCAAGCTACTTGGGAGGCTGAGACAGGAGAATTGCTTCAACTCAGGAGGCAGAGTTTGGAGTGAGCTAAGATTACACCACTTCACTGCAATCTTCCTTGGGCCTAGAGCAAGACTCTGTCTCGAAATAAAAAAGAAAAGAAAAGAAAGTTATGTCCATTTCAGATGAAGCGACCATAGTGATCTATCAGGGACACCTGGGAGTAGCTAAGGGCTGGTCACGCAGGTTGCAGGGCCCTCTGAAAGCTTTAAAAGAGATAACACATAAAGTACTCAGTACAGTGGTGTGCATATGTCATATTTAGTTTCATATCTTCCTTCCTATCTCTAAGCAGCATGGCTCAGAGAATCAGAGCACATACTGTCAAGCCAAACTGCCTGGGTTCAATCCTGGCCCTGCAGGTTTGCTTTGAAACATTACTTCATGCTCCCATACCTCATTCTCCCCACAGGTTACCACGAGGAGTAAATGTTTTCCTATGTGAAAGAGGTTAGAATAGTACATGGCATGCAATAAACTCTCAATAAATTAGCTATCCTCATGGCTCCCCTTCCTCTGAGAGAGGGTAGAGAAGCAGAATAGAAGTCTATGGACCTTTCAAACTATGCTCCATCCCACGTCACTACTGCTGAAGCTCCAAGGAGTGTCACTGGTCAGGTGGAAGATGTGAACTCAGCATCTCAGCTATCCTCTCAAAATGAGCCTCTCTACGGTCTAGGTGACAGTATTTTCCAATCTAAGGTGCAAATTATCTCCCCAGTGCCTCAAGTTCCATTTCCTTCCAGTATCTCTGGTACTATGGGTGTTTTCTCTACAGTCAGGAAACACACACACATACACACACACACACACACACACACACACACACACACACACCCCACATCACCACCAGCACCACCACCAATGGTAAAATTCAACAAATCAGAAAAGCTTTTGAGTTATACAGTAGTCCCCCTTTTTCTAGTTTCACTTTCTGCCATTTCAGTTACCTAAGGTGAAGAAGAATATATTTTCAGAGTGAGAGAGAATCACAGAAAGAGACACAAAGAGAGAAAGAGATCATGTTTACATACATTTTATTACCATCTATTGTTATAATTATTATCTTTTGTTATTGGTTATTGTTGTTAATCTCTTTCTGGGGGCTTAATTTATAAATTAAACTTTATCCTAGGTATGTATATATGGGGAAAATATGCTGTAGATAGGGTCTAGGACTCTCTGTGCTTCTGGGCATCCACTGGGGGTCTTGGAACATATCTTCCAGGATGAGGGAGAAATGACTGTACCGTGGTTTCTATTCATGTCTGCTTAATCCCCACAGGAAACAGAGAATGCACCTCCCAGTCATGGACTAGCTATAGAAATACATCTCCAGGGAGAATTCTGACTCGTGACACTGTGTGGAGTCTCAGTAACAGTGACACAGTGACTGAATACAATTTGAAAAGTACATATATAGATTCCTCTCTTGCCCAGAGTCAATTAGTTTCTTAAGGTCTCTCACTACTTCTCTTTTCTTGTCTTCCTCACTCTCCCTCTTCTTTTTGGAGGGGGAGGGAACGACATGTCTTCCTTGCAAATACTGCCAGGTTCTCTTCTCTGTTCTTTGCCTTCTAGGAGCTCTTCATCCTACAGCACCAGTTTTACAGCCTCTTTCATTCTATTCAAAGAATGAAAATTTCTTCATTCTATTTCTATTCTATTCTGGATTTTTTTGAGGTGCCACACAGAGAAGTGTGGTACTATGAGCTTTCAAGGTAGTCTCATGTCTCCCTGCTGTCCTCAGAGCCCTACCTGAAGACCCAAATGCACAGATCCCCAGAAGTGAACATGGCAATTTAAGGGCCCAGATGTGGAAGAATTACAAGGACTAACTTCCCTTTGGAAGCCTTTACCAATTCATTGAGTAAAAGGGTATCCTGCTCGAGTGCCCTCAAAGTGAGGGAAACTGAGAGTTTTGCTGAGCTTATGTTGGAAAAGATTTCAAAGTCCCGGAGGGAACTGCCATGGAAGAAAAGAAGGGTCATTTCTTAGGAAGCTCAAAGGACTTCTTTGAAAATGTTAAGTGGTTCCCTTCAAAGTCTGTTCATTCCTTCAGGCAAGTAGGGCTCACTGGGGAAACAGGCTCTTTTCCCATCTCTGATGCTGCCTGGGGTCACAAGGTGAACCACCAATTCCCAGGGCCCAAATGAGGTGGTGGTGAGTCCAAAAGCAGCCACATTCTCCACGAAGGGCATGTCCACATAGCAGCCCCATTCACCATGGAGGGTGAGCCACATTCACCAAGGAGGGCGCATGTACCACAGCAGCCACATTCGCCACGGAGGGTGTATCCACATAGCAGCCACATTCACCACAGAGGGCATATCTGCACAGCCCCCACATTCACCACGGAGGGCATATGTACACAGCAGCCACATTTACCATGGACGGTGTATCCACACAGCAGGCACGTTCACCGTGGACGCGTATCTGCATGGCATTCACATTGGCCACGGAGGGCGTATCTATACAGCAGCTATATTCACCACAGAGGGCGTAACTACAAGGCAGCCACAGTCACCACGGAGGGCGTAACTACAAGGCAGCCACAGTCACCACGGAGGGCGTAACTACAAGGCAGCCACAGTCACCACGGACGGTGTAACTACAAGGCAGCCACAGTCACCATGGAGGGTGTATCCGCACAGCAGCCACATTGACCACAGAGGGCATATGTGCACAGCAGCCACATTCACCATAGAGAGCATATCCGCACAGCTGAAACGTCTCCCAGTGCGAGTGGCTGTGTCTTATCCAGTTCCCGTTATTCATGTCAGTAGCATAACTTCTCCACACAGTCATAAACACAGAAAAGGCAGCTGACAGTTGAAAGTACAGATAAAAATGTACGCAGGCCAAGAAATGATTTTTTTTTTCCCCAATGGAGTCATTTTCTCAGAGGCAGGTTAAGAATCATTAACTTTTAAAAATCTAAATCCACAGAGCTGAAAATACAGATAGCAACATACCCAAACCTCTATTATGAGATGGACGTCTGTTTATAAGGAACCCGGAGAATGCAGTAATTCTTATTCATAACAACTCCTATGAATAGAGAATGCCAGCTGCCTTGGTGGTGCCTGCATCATCAGCCCAGGGTGACAGAGACCCCCAGCCATGGTCAGTGGTTCCAAGTATGGCACACTGCCCATCAGGAAGGCACAGCACCCAGGCTCACCCCACACACCACAATTTATGTGGCTTTCTTACTGTCTTCTACATACTGTGCCTTGCAAAAGTCATTACATCCATTTTTAGCTGGTTTCTCTAAAATCTGCTAATTATTTTAATTATTTAATTATATATTATCAATCTGATTTAGGATCCCTTAATCTGCTTTTTTTTCTTGTCAACTTTTCTTTTAGGTTCCGAGGGTACAGGCGTAGGTTTGTTACACAGGAAACTGTATGTTGCGGGGGTTTGGTGTATAGATAATTTTGTCACCCAGGTAAACAGCACGGCCCCTGACAGGTGGATATCCAATCCTCACCCTCCACCCACTCTCCACCCTGAAGTAGGCCCCAGTGTCTGTTGTTCCCTTCTTCGGGTCCATGTGTACTCAACGTTTACCTCCTACTTTTAAGTGAGAACACGTTTCTGCATTCACTTAGGATAATGCCCTCCAGCTGCATTCATGTTACTGCAAAGGACATGATTTTATTCTTTCTTATGGCTGTGTAGTGTTCCATGGTATATACATATCACATTTTTAAAAAATCCAGTCCACTGCTGATGAGCATCTAGGTTGATTCCATGGTTTTGCTATGTGAATGGTACAATTTCATCTATTTTAAGTACATTATTTAAAACTCTCTTGTAACCTAATTCTACCAAAAGCTACACCCAGCCATCCACCCACCATGCCCACAGGTACACATTCCCATCCCTGCACAGAGGAAGCAACTTTCAGTTTGTCTTCTTTCAACACAAAGGACAACACCTGGAAAAGTCCTTTTGCCTCCTGAAACTCTTCATCGGTGGAAAGGCAAAGGAACGGAGAGACTTTGGGGGGTGTGGGGAGGGTAAGTATTCCAAGGCAGGAAGGGTGTTTCAGCCAATATGCTGACACATGCAAATGAAAAGTACAAAGCTAAGCAGCCCCCAAAACACCTTCCTTGTCATCTTGTGTAGAACAGCATCATTTTATGCACTATGCAAATTAAAGATAAAAATCAGGACGCTCGAGCTAGCTTACATCTTTGTTTAAACACCCTACCTGGCACCTTCATGTCCTTCCTCCCTTCCACAAATGCTAAGCTTTCTTTGAATTTGGTGTAACTACTCCTTGTACAAGGATCCCAATGCCGGTCTTATCCTACTCCATGGGCCAGGATCTAA